CAGGCGGGTCTCGAACCCGTGGGCTCAGGCAATCCACTCACCTCAGCCTCCCAAAGCGCTGGGATTACAGGCTGAGCCACCGAGCCCAGCTGTCTCTTCTTTTTTAAAATTTATTTTTATTTTTTAAGTTAGGGTCTTACGGTCACCCAGACTGGAGTGCAGTGGCACAATCACGGTTCACTGTAGCCTTGACCTCTTGGGCTCAAGCAATCCTCCTGCCTCAGCCTCCCAAGTAGCTGGGACTACAGGTGCATGCCACCATGTCCAGATTATTTTTTGATTATTTTTTTTTTTGGTAGAGATGGAATCTCACTATGATGCTCAGTCTGGTCTCAAGCTCCTGGGCTCAAGCGATCCTCCCGCCTTGGTCTTCCAAAGTGCTGGGATTACAGGTGTGAACCACTGCACCCAGCCTGGGTGGATTTTCATAGTCGAAAGACACCTTGGGGAACCTCAGGGCCTGGGCTGGAAGGGGACTCCCCACAGAGAAGGGGGTGGCCTGACCAGAGGGCCTGAGTCTGGGCTGCGGGCTGGGAAGCGTTAATTTATCTATCTGGTGGCTGGGCTCGGTGGCTCAGCCTGTCATCCCAGCGCTTTGGGAGGCCGAGGTGAGTGGATTGCCTGAGCCTGTGGGTTTGTGACCCGCCTGGGCAACTGGGCCAGACCTCATCTCTACAAGAAATAAAGAATGAGCCGGGCGTGGTAGCACGCGCCTGTAGTTCCGGCTCCTTGGAAGGCTGAGGCGCAAGGATCGCCAGAGCCCAGCGGGTCGAGGCTGCGGTGGCCGGGAGCGGCCGCTGCACTCCAGTCTGGGCGACGGAGTGAGACTCCAACTAAAAAAAAAATAATTTATCTATGTGGATACATGTTGGGGGCCTCCACCTGGATTTACTGGAGACCACCTGGTGTGAGGATCCCGGCCATGAGGGGCTGCGGAGCGTGGGTGGAGGCTCCCGCCCAGGCGACAGGGCAGCGACGGGGGTCTACTCTGCGCGGGGCTGATCTGTGTGGGCGCCCTGCCCGTCCCAGGTCCCCACCCCCCGGGCAGGTTAGAGACTGCCCTCCCAGGGTGGGTCCTACCCCGGGCCAGCTCCTCCTCGGCCGACTTGGCGCCCTGCTTCCGCTTGGGCCTCACCAGCTTGGTGCAAATGGCCCCCTTGTCTTTGCTGTAGTGCTGTGGGCCAGGCAGAGGTGGCGTGAGCCTGGCAGGCGGGCGGGGGGGAGCCTCACATCCCTGCCCCTTCCCAGGGGGTCTCCGGGCGGGGCGGC